AGGTGCCAAGCGCTCCAGGCCTTTGATGGCGAAGGGGAGGCCATGAGGGCCGCGGGCACTGAAACGGGCACCGCAGGCGCTGCTGCAGATGCTGCAGGTGCTGCAGGTGGCACAGCTGGCTCTACAGGCGCTGGTACTTCAGGCTTGGTGATAGGAGCCGTTCCAGCCGCTTCAGCAAGCTGGCATGTGGCGCGTGAAATCACATCGAAATTGTCATGACATGTCATCACCGCATGTGATTCCTCAAGCTAGTTCAAGCTCTAGTCTGTCAGTCAAATCACAGAGTGATAGTATGCCTTGCACTTCAAAACGCAGGGTAAACTTTCTTGTAGATTAGGCATCGTTTCATGCGCACATAATCCGCATCTAGGATCATGGAACACGCAGAGCCATATCTATCCCCAAGTTTGGGCGTATTGTACAGCTTCTCATGAACAACTCGCTTTCCTGCCTTGTTTGCCAGCTCGGAAGGACTCAAGACCTGCATAGACTCCATCAGGTTGAAACTACAAATGTATTGCTAGCAAGATCCTGAGATTATCCGTGTGAATTTACATTACATTGTATGCATAGATATTGTATAATATATATATATACATACTATATGTGGTAGTGTATTGTTGACGATTAAACCTACAAATGTAGCACATGTGTTCAGGTTGCTGAAGCTGAAGCTGTTGGCGCTGCCTGCCTCTCCCAAGCAGCTCAAGGCGATGAGCCCCACCTGGTTGAGTGCATTGTAGCGATTCACATGGCACCTTAGCTCACGCATGAAAGTTGTTTAGTCAGGTGAAGCGCGCTGATATGACATATCAGACATCAAACATGTCAACCTAGTAGAGTCCTTGCTCCTAGTAGCGATGCCAAGAGCCCCTAGTAGCGTCCTTGCTCCTAGTAGCGATGTCAGGAGCCCCTAGTAGCGTCCTTGCTCCTATATAATCACAGGACATATTTCTCAACATAGTTGATTTCATACCAACGACAAACAGCGGCAAGCTGCTTGTGAAAGACGATGCGAAGGAACTGCGCCACCACATCCACATAAACGCTTTTCAGCTCGCGGGCCTACATTGGGGAAGAGGCAAAAAAACTCTTCTTAGAGCCTGAGACTGCATGTGCATGTTGCATTCCCAAAAAAACTGTCAACTCCATCCTTCAAAACCACAAAGCAAACAGAGCTCTGGCTCAGCACGGTCCTCCCAGGACCCCTATGTGCAGTCTCCAATGCCTGAAACTGGGACCGCTCATTGTTGTCAAGTGAAAGGTAGCCCAGGCGCTTGAACTGCACAGCCTGGCAAGCCACGCTTTGCTAGATGCTTCAAGAGGCGCAAATCCGGGGAATAAAGCAAACGAGAAGGAAATCTTGCAACCAAGCAGTGAGTCCAAAGGACCATAGAGGGAATTCTTCCATATCCATGAATGATGTCAATGTGAACACATGTGCATCAAGCAATCACCTCCAGTTGGCATGGCCCTGAAGCTGGAGTCAGCCCCGTGAAGAGCTCGATCCTGAGAACCAGCCAAGCCAGGTTCACCCCCAAGCGCATACTGATTTGGAAGGTTGATCGCTCTTCTTGAGATCTTTGCCTGTGCATGCCTGTGTCGCATAATGTGCTTCAAATAAACATCAAAATGAAGCAGCAGTTGCAAAGGTACCAAAGATTGAGAGCAGGACTTGGTTGCAATTTTGCTCTGATGGGACAAAAATTGCACCTCTTTCACAATGCAAATGCTGAAAAGCACGAAGAAACGGGTGAACATGTTGAAAAAATAGTGGCTTGGAAAGGCTTGTTCGAGTCATGGAGGCAAAAACATAAAGTTAAAGAAGTAAGAGAACGATAAAGGCAGGCAGGCACAAAATATATCATGCAACGGCCTTGAACCTAATAGCGGCCTCCAACTTAATAGCACAATAAAGAGAACGATAAAGTGGCAGAACAAAGTTTGCAGGCCTGGCGTAAGTGAACAGGGCTCTCAAACTGCAGGCACACCTGTTGCGATGCAGCAGAACGGGTCTTGGCTTGCCCTGGCTTGCAGCACCAGTTGGTGTGATTCTCTACCAAACACTAGCTAGCTGCTAGCCGTCTCTTAGTGATAAACCTCTTGAAAACTAGCTGCGAGACATGCTCATCTTCATGCCCAACTCAAGCGCTTTGCACTCATCTGCTGTTTCGCCGCTGCGGCTTGATGCAACTGTGAATGGCAAAAGGGTGCAAAAGCTGTACATTCTGATCAACCAAACCAAGAGCTAAGACAGGCTCTCAAAAGCAAGCAAGATGCCTTCAGAGCCTCTTGCCCGACTACGCATAGCCACCAGCACCAAGCTCTACAGGTGCTCCATTGGTGTTTGCTGACTCAAAGACTGCTGACATGACAGTGTGTACTAGAAGTGACCTGGTGGGCCAATCATCACTAGGCTCGCCACCAGACTTGATCTTTCTGATGCATGTAGCCAAATCATCCACAAGCGCATTGACATGATCACAGGGCTCCACGGTGACTAATTGATCCTTACCCATTACGTCGCCTTGTACGTACTCGGAGCTTCCCACAAAGGGCGTCTCGTAGGCAGCAAAGTTGCCACTTCTCTTCTGTCCACCGACGAGGTCGTCGCACCTGATGGTCCCAGTCTCGCAAATAATCTCGTACTGGCTGCGATGCGGCGCTGTGCAACCACAGTCAAAGACTGCAGAGCGATTTCCGGGGAACCACAAAGTCCCTGAACACGCCACTATGGTGTCAACCTTGTTGAAAGTCACATGCGTACACATAACCTTCTCAGGTCGAATCCAACCAAATGCCCACAAGATAGCAGACAATGGATACCAACCCTGGTCACCCAAACAGCCCATGGGTTCTCTGGACTTGTCAGTGCGACCATTTCCTCCTTGAAGCCAGGCCTCATCTGGTGCCTTGAAGGTGAAAGAGGCCGAGACTCGTTGGACTTCACCAAGCTCTTTCCGCCTCAGCTTCTCCTCGATTTCTTTGGTCCTTGGTGAATCTTGCTCATTCGTGTTGTTTTGGATGAGGCCCATACATCTCTAGGATTCTTTATTCAAATTCATGAAAGCTACCCTGGGAACTGAGAACGCTCAAGTTCCAGCAAGTCTAGTTCCAAGCACCCGTCCTGATAGAATGATACCACATAGTACCATCCATCCACTGCAAGCCTTTGCTCCGACAAGCCTGGATGAGTGATTCGAGTTCCTTCACCGTGCCACCCATTGGTTTCTCTGAGTATATGTGCTTGCCCTTAGCGATGGCTGCTAAAATCTTCTCATTTCGAAGTCGCGTGGGCAAAGGAATGTAGAGCACGTCTACATCATCCCTCTCGATCATCTCTTCATAGAGCATGCCTTCACCACAGTCACGCTCCTTGCAAAATTCCTGGGCTTTCTCCCGATCCCGGCTTGCAACTCCCACCACTTTCATTCCATGCTTAAGCCCAGGAAGCACTTTGTCAACGATGGAGGCTGTGCTCAGAATGCCCACCCTCACTTCATCTGCCATCGTCTTTAAGGAGCAAAATATGATTAAATTGGGACAGGTGATGCTGACTTGATCCAGTGACGCGACATGGAAACTACTTTAGTCACACATTGTTGCTTCCACTGCTAGTTCATTCTCATTTCACGGCCATTCATTGCCAAGAAGAGGGACCAGTATGAAAAGCTTAAGCTGCTTGCAGCCAACAACAGCACATCAGCCTCTTGTGGAAAGTCGCAATATCGTGCGGTCTGCCATCCCTTCCTGAGAATTTGTGCACCAAAACAACGAGTTATGCCAAAAGCGTAGGAAAGCAATGCGACACCCCGAGCTTGCTCCGAATTGGTTCTTCAATCAAGCTACGTCTGTTGCGAATGGGCCAGCAGCTCCGAGACCTGTGGCCCGGCCCGGCCGAAAAGAAAAACCGGACGACGAATGCAGAACCCAAAAGTGTCTCCCAGTGTTTCCTTGGAACGACTGGGAGGAGGGGTCCAATCAGCCCGGTCATCTTTCAGATCCTTTTAGGTTGTAAAGCTAAGGACTCTTGTTACAAAAGCTTCTTGTTTCTAATAGCTTCTTGTTACTACCAGTAAGGCACTTGCTACTAGAAGCGATGCACTTGTTCCTAGTAGCTTCTTGTTCCTAAAGCTAAGGACTCTTTAACTTTGCAAGCCAAACATTCTTTCATTAGGAGTCTTCTGTAGATCCCTCCGATCATTTTTGAATCTACTCCCTTCAAAGGAGTTTGCTGAGGCCGAGGCGGGGAAGTCAGGCTCCTGAAGGAAAATACTGAGAACTTGAGTTCACAGTCACATCAATGATTGGAATACAAAGTCCTCTGATGTGCATCGCACAATTCGATACTTCAGCCTGGCAAAAGAAAAGGACGTTAATATATTGGTTGAAACGCTTGTGAATCGGCTTTGACGGCTTGTGGTTCGATACTGGCTTGCAAACATGCTGCAGCATGTGCACCTCGCGTTCGAGGCTGCCATGTTGCCTGCAAGACAGGACTGCCGTAACAGCCCGAAGGACCGGTTGCCCGACCACACAGGCCGATCAAAGAAAAAGAAAGAAAGAAAGCAAGCAAGGAAAGGAAAGGAAAGGAAAGGAAAGGAAAGAAAGAAACACGACGTCTTTCTGCGAGTGGCCTTTTGGCGAAGCTCTTTGGCAAGCACATCAGCACTAATGTGTTCAGTGTCTGTTGCAGTGAGGTTGTTTCTTCTGAGGTAAACATGCAGCTTTATCTGGAATTCCATTGACTTTAATCGTGCTGTTGGTTTATCTCGTTTCACCTTACGTTTGCTTAATTGGAGCTGGTCACATCTTTCAGGCTGACGAAATTTGGGGAACCTGTTTCATTTGGACAGTATCAGCTGCGTCAGAAAGCAATCGAGCACAGGCTAGCTACAGTACTCCAAAACGTCAATACAGTAAAGCTGTCCAAAGTTCTCTGGTGATATCCAACCGAGGCTGCTGGGATCAAATCGTTCTCAAGCTAAACAAACCCCCACCGGGAATCTGTGTACAAGGACGCCAGAAGATCCTTCCAACTCCTGGAAGCACCGACAGGTCTTGTAACCTAATAGAAATGGCCTCCAACCTAATTAATAGCGATGGCCTCCAACCTATGACACTGAAGCCCTTCACTGCCCCAAACCTTGAAGGTGGACAGGAAGGCATTGCTCAAAGAGTTCAAACAGCTGCCTGCATGTGGGGTCAACTCCTTGTACAACAGCGCGATCTGCTTCTCCCTTTCTTCGGCACACCTTACAGTAGATTTATTCTGGAAACATCCATAAAAATTCATTTGTCATGACATGTTGTGACCCCTACAAGTAGCAATAAAAAAACAAATGGCGATGTACTCAGCTGAATGGCTGCTGTGCAATGTCTTCTTGATCCCGCTTCATCTGCTGAACCTTCATCTCACCAAGAGCCTCAGACTTTTATCAGCGACAACCAGGCAACATCACTCTGGTAACTGAGTGCATGGATGTTGTATCTTGAGACTAGCTTGAGACTATGAAAAATCCAAGCTCCGGTCAGCCAGCATGTCTTCTTGGAGGGCCTTCAACGCCTGTGAGTGTTGCTTTCATTTTGCTTTCATTGCGTTCACTCCCTCAAGTCAAGCCTTCAATTCGGCTGCATTTTCAGCGCTAAACACCTGAGCGAGTACCGCATAGACCCTGAAGGGTCTGCTCACCAAAACTGCAAGGTCTTCGTTCCAAGCCATTCTTCCTTTATCCGGCACTGCAAGGTCTTGTTCAGGGTGCATCCCTTTGCACAGAAAGAGGGTGATTGCAAGCAGTGTCTTCTTTCACCAGACCAAACGGGAGCTGTTTCATTGCCGAGGTTTGACTGACAGTTATACTATATAGGGCATGGTCAAGGTTGCCGCCTAGCACTGTCCACCTGAAATACCCACATCCCCCCACAAAGTTAGAATGCATTGTGAGGAAGTTCACAACTTCTGAAGACATCGGACAACGGAAAAGAAAATACAATTTCGATTTGTCTCGTGTCTCTTCCAATTGAAGTGAGGAATCGTTAAAAGTAATTGATTCCTAACATGGGAATGTTTGTGTGTTCCATACTACGTCACAAGGGTATGTTGCATTGAAAGGTACTGGAAGGTGATGTTTGAACCCGAAAGGATAAATCATGATAGATGTAAAGGGTCCTTCTCCATAGGGGGTTTACGCGCTTGCTAATTGTGTTCATAAACCAGTGTTGGCAGCTGCGGATCGAATTGATAAGTCCAATTTGGTAGCAGGTGTGCGGCGGTCAAGTATCACACCGCTTTAAGCTGTGAAAAATGACCATCCACACCGTCTCCCAGTGTAGGATTCTAGAGGGAAAGGGTTGTAATGAGTTGGAATTTCAAGAAGCGCAACTTTTGTCTGGCCGGTGTACAGATTCTGTGAGTTCCCCCGTGCGGGTCCCCAGTTGATGACATCTTTGATCACATCCAATCCATTCAGCTATATAACTTGAACACATTGAACTCAAACTTGTGGACTGTGCTCTCCAGAAATTAGGCCATTGGCTGGCTTTGCAGTAGCCTTCTCCCTGACCGCCAAAAATCACGTCGGATGGAAGGACCTTCGGAATCTTTAATGGTTGTTGAGTCTTTGAGAAAATGTACTCCAGCCTCTCTGAAGCATTTGTGTCATGAAGCCAGACCTTTGCCGCTTGCATTGAGACAGCACCGCCTCTGCCATTATTGCATACACGCAAACTCCTGTTTTAGAACCAGCGCTGATCTCACCCTTCAGATTGTTCTGCGGTTAGTTCAGACTAAGTTCAGTACCCAGAAACCACAAGCAGCAGCCAGCAGTAGGACCTGAGAAGAGACGGACGTTGGAGTCACGAAAGAAAACTGCATCAGCTGCTTGGACCTACCACGTATTTGTTTGACTGAATAAAGGTAACTCTATTAACCATGTTCTTCGATTGAAAGACAAGGCCTCCTCTTAGGCGGGATGCAAGTGTGGGTGATTGCGTTTGACACACGAAGTGTCAAAATTGAAAGCCTCGTACAAACCTGTCAAGTAGCAAATGTTGAGGAAGCCTCAAACGAAATGCTCAGAACTGCTGGCAACTTTGTAGTGAGTCCGGGCAGAGAACTAGCAACTTTGTAGTAGTAGCATGTAGTAGCTTCTAAAAGCTCCGAGCTCGGAATTGGCAACTTTGCAACACAAATGTAATGTATGGGGAGTAGCTTCTTAAGCTAAAAGCTCAGAACAGGCAAAGTAGTAGCGCGAGCGTAGTCCAGGAAGAAGCTCTGGCAACTTTGTAGTACAAATGCATTTTGGCGGGTCGCTTCTGGGAGCGTGTGGTGTTGCTTTGTTACATGGAGCATGTGACACACGCTGCAGCGAGATTGCGCCTTGGCGACGCCTCAGTGGAAAGTGCCCTTGCGTGGCTTCGTGCCATTGTGAAGAGGAATAATGTGTGTGTGTGTAAATGCAGCGTGTCGATAGTGAGTTGCAAGATGGGTGATGTCAATTACGCTTGGTGTCGCGTGGTTCAGGACACTTGTTGACCCAAAGGTTTTGTAGGGGTCTCAAGGTGGTGGGGACAGACCCGGACAAGGCCTGCACAAAGCGCAAAAAAAGGGCACGGCACCCGCCCCATGGCGCGGCTAAGCAGGACACACAGACCTACGTCCAACAGGGCCTGCGGCGAGACCCAGACAAGGCCTGGACGAGGCCCGGACAAGGACCGGACGAGGGACTAAACTGTTTGCCAGACAACACTAGAAGGATGCCAAGAGAACAAAACAAGGACACACATATCGCCAGCGCGGCCAGAGGACAGCTAGGAGTCCAATGGAGGACACAGGATTCGCGAGCGCCAGGAGGACAACAGCAGGAAGACACCAGGACAAAACAAGAAGGATACAGGCACGGCCATAGGACAACAAAAGACAAGAGGAGGACACAGGCAGAGGACAGCAGGAGGCAGGAGGACAAGAGGAGGGGCACAGGACAGCAGGAAGACAGCAGAACAAGAAGAGGTCACAAGGTTTGCGAGCACGGCCAGCAGAACAAGTGGAGGACAAGGAGATGACAAAAGGAGGACAACCCCGGACACAAATTTCAAAGGCGCGGAGACTGTGACCAATGTCTTCTGACCCAAGAAAAAACCTCGACAGAAAACTGCCTGGAAAAAACTCAAGCTACTCAAACTAGACGACGGGTGGCCGGGGAGCGCGGAAGGAAAGGGTTTGCAAACAGGGTATATATATATATATATATATGTGGCAGGGACCTTTTGGTAACATTTCGTTGCGGATGAAAAGCACCGGCACATTTCTCACTAGCGCGCACAGGTCTCATTTGCCCATGCCACCACGCACAGGGGAAGGAGAAACCGGACGTCGCGGGTCCTTAGATCGGTTTCTCATTGTTTTTCATTGTTCAATTATTGCACATGTATATTGGGAAGCATGCGTTGCAACTAATGAATCAGCCAAAGCGTCGTCCACTGATCTCTGGCCTGTGTGAAAATTCTCCCAGTAGAACACTCCTGGCTTTGTGCCTTGGATACAAGCGCTGATGGCTGATGGTTCCCGAAGCCTAGAACGGTTGGCATGACGTTCAAAAGCTTGTTACGCTTTTCAAAAGAGTACGGCCGCTTTTGCGTTCAAGCCAGGCTGCGGCTTTCGATCTTGCGCCAGCTCAAGTTGTACGCCTTTTCCTCACAAAGGTACCGATTGAAAAATCTTTTCGATAACCATCAACCGGATTGATTCCCGCGCAGATATGAACATAGTGTTTGGTGAATTCAATTCATGAGTGGCTTCGTGCCAAAACAAATGAGGCTCCCAAAAGCCACGTGATCATACGGTTGAAAGAGTTAAAAGAATGTCTCCGTCATTTTCGCATGCCAATCATCCTTGCGTCTTTGCAACGCGTCGAACCATCCTTTGGAAGGGACAGAGGCCTCCACCATTTCCTCAGCGTGCAACTCTGAAACGCCCAGGGCGCATTGATTGAATTGTTTGTCCATGTCGGGCCGCCAGAAATATGTTGATTTGAGCGTTAAACAAAAGTTCCTGCAACTCCGTAACTTGCCCGCAATTCTGCCAAATCTGAGACCCTGGCGTGCCATCTGGGCTTGAAGCCCCTGCCAGGTGGTGCGGATGTAAATGGTCTACGCAGGTAAACTGTAAAGAAAGAGCCACTCTTGCAAAGCAATACATGTTCTTTTTGGTGGCTAGAATCAGACTCTGCTCCACATGGATTGTGAAACTAACAAGCGCAAAACACAAGCCAGAGCATAAACCTATGTACGTTTTTGTTGAAGCATCAGCTTTCGTAAGCTCAACAAATCATATGTTTCTATGTTCGCTCGGCACCATAGTTCTAGTTTCTCTTTGGAGCGGCGTCCTACACCACCGGAGTATGGATTTCGTCGCCCGACTCACCTTTCTGCACCCGGAATACAATCCGACGGGTCACGAAAGCATTGTCTCCCCAACGACGCACTGGCCTTGCCACCGTGGACACCATATACATCGACGGGTCCCGTAGCTCCTGGATGGGGCAACCACATACCATGACTTACAAAAAAGAATAAGCATGAATAGCACGTATATTGTTGATGCTTTGACAGTTTGCATGGCTTTTGAAGAGTTTGTTTGCTTTTGTTGTGTTTACTCTTCTTCACACTCCGCAGACCTTCGCAGGACAATGATACTTGGCTAAGATCCTTTATCTAAGCTTACTGTTCTGCTTCGACTCTTCACCTCCACCTCGCCAGATCCCCGATTCGACGAAGCGGGTGTCCTTGGACTTCTCAAGGGCAAACTCCAAGAGCTTTGCCGCATGCTGTGGCGGAAGGCCTGGGACATCGCAAACATCCGATGGTTAAAAACACAAAACAAACAATGCACTTCCAAGTCTGTCAAAAGAAGTCCTTCATCAAAAGGATTCTGATCAAAACCTTTCAACCAGCTCTCTGGAGAACATGTGAAAAAAGAAAAGTCTGATACCTTCTATACATCTCAAATATCATTACATCTGTGTCTTCATAACTCTACGCCGTTCCAGTGGCCTGTCACTGCGACGAGCGCTTCGTTTTGTACCGAAGGACCACCTTTTTGCACCTGGCTCCTCAGTGACGACCACATATCCATCCGACCGGGAAGATCGAAAGCGGACGTTCACAATCCACCGAAACATTGCTTTTGGTTCAAGGGGCGACCATCTGCATGGAAGTCTATCATAGAAATTAAGGGGGGACCATCTGGATGGACGCTGTATTACAACTCACCGACTGCCCTCGACCAAAATCTAATCTCTGAGAATCAAATTGGATTAAAGTTCACAGGGTATGTTTCTTGAAGTGCTTCACTGTCAGTCTCTATGTTTCACTTCAGATCCCCACAGAAGCCGCTCCATGGTTATTGGATCAATGCCTTCCGGGCCTGAGCCACGAAAAGACAGTCGATCCGAGAAACTTTCCCATTCGTTTCCAGGAGACAACTGAAGAAGCCATGCCATAGTATGTGAAAAGTAAGGAACTAAGCAGTAAATTGATTTTAGTGTTTATGTGAGGAAAACACCTCTTGATATGGGTAGTGGCCCTGTCATCGACCGTCTCCCCACTCCTCACCTGAAGGTGCTGCATTTTGCAGACCTTTCGCAGCTCCTGTGCCAAGCTTTCCGCATTCAATCGGATCAAGGAAAACCTACTGCAGCCTATAGGCAAACCGACCTGGCGATGATCTGTGATTGGTAGATCACTTGTCAATGTGTCAACTTGTCAACGGCTAATGCGTTTGTGTCACTCATTCACTAATAGCCGAAGTGTCTCGCATCACGACAATCAAACATGATTCGGAAAAACGGCGCGGAGCGCTTCGGCGTAATCCGCCTGGAGGAAGCTTCTCAGCGACCTGCAGCCATGAAGATTTCGTAAAGTTCCCTCATGACACATGTCGTGGCGTCGTTGCTGTGCTAACTGTTCTCAGAATGTGCACTGTGTAGTTTGTTCTGTCCTATTTCAATCCGTACCCTTGCGCACAGCTGAACGCTCAGCATGAGAGCCGGGCCTCTTCGGCTCGCGCAACACACTGCTTCTTTGCCGCAGCGCCGCGCTCACCTGTCATGCCGGTGGCGCATCTTTGGGTATGAATATGCCATATAATGTTCCGCTGTACCTTCTTGTCTACAACATATGATGTTTGATCAATATTCTTTCATCCTGGAATGGCCATTCATCGCGAAAAAGCAGATATCTTTCGCGGATCTTTCGCGACCTCATCGCGAAGCATGTTCCTCAAGAGAGGTTGGTTACTTAACATGTTTTGGGTGAGTCAGAGAGTCATGTATATTTATATATAGAGATACGGTGGGCGGAAGAAGAAATCCTGCACCACTTTGATACAGCCGTCATCCAAAGCTGACAGACCAGCAGCCCCACATCCCTATTCCAGGTCGTTGGGGTATGGGGGTGGGGTCAAGTTTGGTAGGCAGAACTTTATCGGCACATTCGTGAAACTTTCGCGGATCTTTCGCGAAAAATCATTAATGATTTCCCCATTGGCTCAAACTGGCTCAGCCAGGTGATTGCACTTTGGCTGTATTTGGCGCCATCTCTGTGGCTAGATTGCTTCAAGCACAAATGCCTCTGACAACTATACACATCTGTGATCTATGACACATAATACAGGAATCCCACAAACATACGCTACACTACACATTGACATCCCAAAACAAACTGAAACCAAGTAAAGTTCTACGTAGAAGCTTTTTATCCAGTGGGCCATAAAAGGAGAACCAATATTAAAACCAGAACCTTCGATAAATCTTTCGCGAAAAACATGTACTTTCGCGAACCTCATCGCGAAGCTTTCGCGGAGGGTTTTAACAACATCTAAAAGGCTGTTTTATATTAAACTCCTTACGCTGGGTTTTCGATCATCTCCCATATGGCTCACAACTACTTTTTGGACATGCCCGGAAGGACTCGATTCGCCGTCAAACCCGGGTATAGGCCTTCCACGGCAAGTCCATACCAATCTGCCATCCGCTTGGCGCGCCGCTCTCTGCGCGCCATGGCAAAGGGCCAAGGGGTGAAAAGCGGAGCAACCGTAAACATAGAACATTGCAGTCAACAATGAAACATCTGTCCTTTATTGCCTTTTGAACGGATGACTTTTGTGACATTGAAACCCATTGAAACCCACGACACTTCCGCGCACCCATGGGGAAAAAAGGAAAAACTATAGCCAACAGTTCACATCGACATGCATGGTGAAGCGTTTCGTTTAGTCTCTCGGTCTCTCGTCTATTGTTTTTCGTCTTAGTCAGTCAGAATACAGCAGCATATGAAAACTATTTAGCGCATTTAGCACATTAGTCTTTTGTTGTCTACCAGAAAAAACGTCCAGCCAGCAATCAAGTTTTGCGTATTAGCGCTGTGCACGTCCATCCTACACACATATGATATGGCACGCAGTGAAACCTAACTATAACTCCACCATCTGCAAGAAATATAGAAAAAGCTAAATTATCCTTTTTGTAACAAATACTATTTGCTGTCCCCGAAATTTTTCGAATCAGTCTACCATGTCAACACTACCTTAAAACAACAAATAGTAGTAATAGTAGTCGGGATGCGCTTAGCAATGAAAGGTGATGAACCAAAATAAATTGGAAAGAGAAATCACATCACCAGAAACAAAACCCATGCATGCCAGATGCACCACTTGTTAACTCACAACCCTGGTACGGGAAGAAAGGAGACCGGGACCAGCGCAGCAAACCAGCCGTGCAAGGGTGGCTCAAAGAAGAAACCTACCACCCCAAAATTTAACCAAAAAGGTCGCAACGAATGAAGACCCCTTCATAAAGGAGAGTGCGGGCGGATCAAAAAGAGAAAAGGACACAACAAAGCACTAAACCCGTGGCGGAAGATCCGCCAACAAACGTTGCCCTATTCCAAGAGCAACCCTACTTGGCTGAACTCATGACCAGTAGATCCAACCAACCGATTGAAACAAATCATTGCAAGCAAATCACCGTTTGTTGTACGCTCGCGTACACGTCCCAAGACTTCAGATCTCCACAAGGTAGGCAGGTTCCGAAGCGTGACAGCACTTCCCTCAAGATTTTTCAAGATGACCTCACCGAACCTGCTAACAGCCTATAGTGGGGCAAGGGAACTCGACATCACAAAAGGTGCAGTTACACCAGGTTGCTCAGTTTCACCATCACGCACGCGTTCAATCCACAATAGCACAGAGGTTCACACTATTCACTGTTCCTTTATCTCTTTCATACGCCACAAACACATCTCTATGCGACTACGCGTATGCCTGAATCTCCATCCATATATACGCTCAGTTTAAAATCTACAACCGTGACATCTTGTCTGTCAGCTGACGCAATGAACATTTTTCTGGTTGCAAAAAGTCGAATGTCATTTGACACCGCCTCTACGCAGTCTGTGGCGACGAGCCAATGTAAAAACGGTTCTCTTGGCTCTTTTTCGAACCGTCTTGGGTTTACATGTTGTGGCGCTGCGCCAATCCTTTACAGCCTGGACTTCATCCCTCCGCGCAGAGTGCAGCGGAAGCTTTGCTTTGTTAATCCGACACCAACACCTCCACTGTTCCTCACACCAAACATCAACTCCAACACACTGTGCCAGCAAGCTTCCTTCCGGCGTCTGTCTGCTTGTTGGGAAAAACAATGCTGTTTGATGCGCCAGCAATTTCCCAAACTGCATGATTTGCAGCTTCAATCTCAGTGTGCTGCGATGCATAGTGCGAATTGGACGCGTCCAAGTGTTTATCTGAGCGTGGAGGGCCTCATTCGACGAAGTTCCGCTTGGAAGTAAAGCCCGCTGCCAAGGTTCCATTCCGTGACGAACCATCAAATTGTTCATAAGCCAGCCCAATCGGTCTGGGGCACACGCGGCCCAAAGTATTTGCCGGACTTCCTTGTTTTGACCCGTCACCTTGCGGCATACTTCAGATTCGTACTGCTGCGCGATAGCAGCCACAGTTTCAATGAATGTAATCCTGCAAAACAAAGGGGTCGCAGGATCCAGCCTGGCCAGAACAATCTTCGCTGCACGCTCCGGCATGGAGGAATTCAAAATCATATGCCGCAATCGTTCCTCTTGCGCTGTCAGGGGACTGGCATGTGAGCCACAGAACATAGAACCCCAAGATTTATCTGAACAACGCTGATCGACAATGTTAACCTTGTTCAAGAGCTGTCGCAAAACCTTGGAACCAGACGTTCTACGGTGCCAATGGGCATACTCGTAGACAATTGCCAAGTGCACCGGATCCAGCGACAAAGCACGCAGATTTACAAGGCATTTCTTCAAAGTAAAAAAGAGCTTCGAAGAAGGTGAATCAGTGGCTATATACAGCACCTGTTGCAGTTCCTCAGTGTCCAGAGAAGTAGCCAGAGCTTCAGATATACAATCTGCATCTTCACCTGTCAGGGTTGGGCTGCAATCAATGCATTGGGCGCATTGAACCTTTCTATTTGCCCTAACCATTACCACCTCGCCTCTGATTGGCACCATGGCAACCACTGCACCAGTCCGACCACGTACTGTCAGAACCCGCCGGTAGGCCACATCGTCTCCAAAGGCAGCCTGATTTCGTACCTTTACGGAGCTGCGCCAGCTTGCTTGGCCTGCAACCCCAGCGCATATTTTGAGCGTGGCATCCACAGACAAGTAGAGGAACTCGGAATTGCGCAGCAACGTTGTGGTGAGAGAGTTGAGGATGATGCGAATGTGCTTGCACGCGAAAATGTCCTCTACCACAGGCCACCAATCCCTGTTGTGGGCTGGGTAGAGGCGGCCTAGTGGATTGCCAGCTTCCAGTGATCGAAGTTGTAGCCGAGGCCAGACGCTTTTGACCTGCAGAGAGCTTTGAATCTAATCTAATGGGCTGTCTCTGTAATGAACAAGCTTTAAAGACACACAAACAGAAAGAAAAACATTCGAGAAATCCCAAGCCCAAGCCCGTTTCAGGCCACGGAGCATTTGAATGATGAAGTACAACTTCGCGGTACAAGACCTCGGCGAAAGATTTGTCGTAGTAGATGTTGAGGACTCTGCGGGCAAAGATGGTTGCGCCGAAAGCCGCTTTGTTAACGTAGACAGGGCCGCCTGCTGTGAATAGAAGTCGAACTTCTCTGTCGATGTAGGTCTGTCGATGTGAGAGAGGAGGGGCGCAGTTGCGGGCCATGAGCGAAGCACTTCGAAACAAGAAGTCACAGCCTCTGGCCCTGCGAATGCAATCGTCATCGTGTAAAGCAAGAATGACCTTCAGTTGTTTTGTACCGGAGCAGGCAAACTGCACCTCTGATGTGTGATAATTTTCTATATGTACACGCAGCTGTTGAAGCCTGGCAAATGATCGAAATGGGCATAAAGTGCACCGATACAGCCCACCAATCTTCCGGATGTTGTCGTCAATAACTTCTTGCAGGAAGCTTGCTACTTCCTCCTCCATCGAATCCTTCAAGTTGTCGTGCACGAAGACTTCCCCCTCATCATTCACGATCAAGCTGTCGGCATCTGGTAACTCATCTTCCGATGATGAGCTGCCGGCCTGCAGGTCCAGCAATAGGTCACTTGGGGCACAATGGTCATTCTGAATGGTGAAGGTAACGACTGTGTGTGAATCTACCCCTTCAAAAAGGGCAGCTAGAAGATTGTCGATGCTAATCGTCCAGCGCGCGTCGTGGTCATGCACGGTCGCATTTCCTTTGTCTAGCTTGACGGCAACGCAGTGAGGAGTACCTCCATTCTCTGTGTGCAGAAGGAATGAATGTGGTGGCGGGGACGAAATCCCAAGTGTAGCTCCGAGCTCAATTCCAAACAGCTCACAGCATTGCCGGTAGCTTCGATGCCCGCGCTCTAG